TTATAGTCCTCCACAAAGTCCACGTTGACCCCGTGGATTGAAACAGGGGTCAAGGGTTTCCTGGGTCCTAAACTCCACAATCAATTCCTTGGTTTTTTCCACGTTGAGCTGTGGATGATTGTGCTCGCACCACGTGACAAAGGAGTCAACCACAGCCCAGTACTCTGACTCATCACCCCTGCTGATGCATCCAACCACCACAGAGTCATCAGAAAACTTCTAAAGACGGCAGGTCTCTGTGCAGTGGCTAAAGTCTGTGGCGTAGAGGGTGAAGGGCTACATATCTCAGACCATGAAGATTTATACCAGGGTGACATGAGCTACCTATGTGAACTATGCGGGGAACCATCAACTGGAACTAGGTGGAAAAACTCAGGGAGAGGGTCATGACTCAGCAGGGAAGATCAGTGGTACTGGAATACAGAGAGAAGAGTGTCAGTCATGGCGGCGGTTGGTCTGGCAAGAGGAGTAATTAAACTGAGAGTGTCTTGCAGGTTTTGCAGTCTAATTTAACAAATTTGCACTCAGCTTTGCAGTCTCAGATTTTGTAGCTGTCCTACGTATTTGTTTAATATGCACTTTGAAGCTCATAGATGACTTCAATGACTTCAAGATTACAGGAGCTATAATTAGCTCTATGCACTGACCTCTTTCTCTCTTTTATATATACATGCTTGATTATTTGGCTCACTGCTGCTGCAAAACCGGGGGTGGTCTGCTTGTCTCCACCCCAGAGCAAAGGGAAACATCTACTGGGTCCGGGGGCAGATTGCCCCTCTGATACCTGGACCAGGGGGTATAGAGTATGTTTGGGGAGTGTGTGTACAGTGTTCATTTCTGTTTGTCTCCATGTTGGGCGAGTGCTGAATATTTTTATATGTGTGCATGATGGTGGGAATGCATGTTTGTGTCTCTGTGTGCCTGTTTGTCTATGTTATGTGTCAGGGCGCGTCCTCGACTCCACCTCTCTGGAAACATCTTAGGCCCCCCCAAGATGTGGGGGCCAATCTTCCCTCACCACATTCCCTGCCAGTGGCTGATGCCCTCACCCGTTAGTAAAAAACGAGTAGATCTTGCTTGCTTTATTGTCTTTGTTTTTGCCTGTCCCGTTCGGCACTGTAGCAATCACAATTATTGTCTGAGGGCCAAGAAAAATGCCCAAAAGATTTATTTTCCCAAATGCCCAAATGGATCGTTACATCTTTGCCATACTGGTCCACTTGATTGATCTTTATAATGTGTGTG